TCAACAATCAACTATCTTCAAGCTACCAGCCCAAAGCATCTTTCCACCTTTCTCAGCTCTTATTGGTTGTTTTTGTTTTGGCCCTCTGGATTCTTGCAAATGCCATTCAGAGCACAAGGAGGAGCCAGAAGTACCCGATTTTACTGTTAGGATAAAGTTAAAGTTAAAGAAAAATATGACAAAAAGTTATTTTAATACAAACAACCTACTGCAGCTCTAATTAAAACTACTGCTACATCATTAGAGACAGGTGCAGAGTGGCAGAGGCGAGAAAATGACTAACCTCTGTGAAACCTCTCCATAGCGACCGATGTCCACCTTCCCAAACCTGAGTCCAGGACAGTTGTACCTACAGAATGTAGGGGAAGACATTTAGGCCTCAAGTCAATACTGATATCCCTGATGTATTAATGTATGATTGTGATTACTGAAGTAAACATTCAATGTGTATTTAAAAAAATAACCAAAATGTTAACATTTCAGTATGCAATATGGAAGTTATTAAGCCAATTTTCCATTTAATACATGCTTTTTATAATAAAACACACTATCTAATACATCAAAGACTAAGAGGAGACACTAAGAGGAGACACTAATAAAAGACGAAGATTATAGCATACAAAGTGTTCAGCAGATTAAATTAATATTTTGGTTTTAAACTTGTGATTGTTAATTATTGATGAGGTTTATCTTCTTCAAGCAATATACTTCCTCTTGAACAAAAGTCAGCCAATCACAACTATATCTGTTGTACCGATAATTACTAATTAACCTGACTGAGGCACTGTAGGGCCTCAGTATCTTGAATACTGGGAGTCCTATATTTACTTATGTCTTACTTGAGAGACAGATCTGCAAAAACGGGAGCAAAAGACTGGCAGTCAGAGGACCAGTTGGCGTAGAATTCAACAATCCAGGTGACTCGACTGTCTCTCTGCAGCGCCTCCTAATGACTCAATCATACAACATTAGATTAGAACAGATTACACAGGTCATTCACACCTCCAGGACTGGGGCATCATCAGTTAGGAAGATAATAATAATATTTAAATTTCATATGATTTCACTTAATTAACATACTATATTGGCATGCTACTGTTTTTACACTCACATCTATGGTCGTGTCACTGAAGTACTTGATGTACTCTGGGCCCATGTAGAGAGGTGGCTTACAGGTCATGACGAATGCTGGAGACAAAGCATAGATAAACAGAGGTTCTAAGTGGATGAAAACAAGTGGCTAAATATACATTTTACATTTTCTGAAGCTCTGAAAATCTCAGCTTAGGTTAATAAATGCACACAAAAACCCTAAAAGCATTGTTTGAAGTTAAGAGCCGTTATTCAATTTGGCATCTACAGTACTTGAGTGAAATAGGTGCTCGATACAAATCAAAATAGGAGAAAATAAAAGAAAGGTATCATCACTACACTGCTTCTTTAAGCTTCAGTAGTGAGGGCCGGAAGAGGAACTGCTCCAATTGAAGTTTTCAAGGACTTTTCTTTTGTGTTCACATTAATCAACTTCCCCCAAATTTTGGCTTATTTTATGAATATCTACCAATAATTTAATAGAAACTGTAAGTGGGCAACAGATCCATGTCTATATTTGCTATAATAAGGTCCTGTATGTAGTGTTTTATTGTTAAAAGGGGCCAGCTTGCCTTAGACAAGTGAGTCTTTTCTTCTCAAGACCTCAAATACTTGGTACATACTGTAACTGTAATTTCATGTTACTGTTATTAACTTTAAAGGAAAACTTTCATGGGGTGTTTTTTCATATTGCAATAGCCTGTTTACAGTGATCATATACCAACTAATAATATATAACAACTAATCAAAGCTGATACAGTTTGCCAATAAATAAAGGAGTGATAATAACACATTAACACATTAAAGCTATGCAGTGTCCTAAGCAGACCGGCACACAGTAGGTGATCAAGACACTTGAGACCTCTGCTTATATTAGATTAGATGTGCTATTTCATAATGGGTTTGTGTATTGTTTAAGCCAGGGCTGCCAAAAGTTGGTTCGCTGGATGTTTATAGCAATTTTGTTAATACTTTATGATAATTCTTGTATTAAATTCCTGTTTTATTTACTGTAAATTAAAATATGCTCTTTAAAAAAGTAAGATTATTAATTATTTTTCATAATCTGAGCATAGCAGAAGTGACACTTTGCACAGTAAGTCAATTAAATTAATTAACTTGTGATCTTAGTACCCTTTTACATCATAACTATAAAGTACAATACGTGTTTGCTTTTGGCCTGTGACCCACCATTAAGTTAAGTTCCGGCCCTCCAAGGGGAAAAAGTTTGGGCGTTTACGCTGTCATCTACTAATAAAAGTACATATGTGTCCTGAGGGACACCCTGCATGTGCTGTTGTTGCAGTATTTGTAACGGGGGTTGTAAAGGCCACTGACCGACACACAGCGACACGTAAAGGATGCCGAGCCGAATGTCCAGCCTGAAGAAGAGGATGACGTTGGCCACTTTACTGAACAGGAACAAGTTGCCTATGTGCTGCTCCAGAGTGACTGAGGACGAGGGGAGAAGAACAATGAATGCAGCGGAGGAAAAAAAACAACCTTCACAACTGTTGATTCAAGGTCAGAGGAATGCCTGAATACACTGTAATGTGTACACAACAAAGCAAAGTTTTTAGAAAAGCACTTCCTGGGTGTGACCTAGTGTTGGGGGTTTCTCACCTGGTTTCAGGTCAAGGATTTTAAACGGTTACACATTAGGTCACAAACCTGTTTGGTTGTAGTTTAACAATTACACATTATAGGAGACACACACATAGTGTCCTTGCTTTTTGGATGTGATGTTTAACACAATAAAACATACATGTCAGTTTAAGTTAAAGAGGTTTAATTACATTTCTCACATGCTGACTGTTTATAGTGTAAACAAGCAATTATGATGTTATGGGATGAGTTGGTTTACACATATACAAATGTGTGTGTTTGTGTTGGGGGGGTTACTTACTCGCTCTCCTGTTCTTCATCATCACTATAGCACTGAGAAACATGAGGATCTCCAGTTCTCTCTGTTAAACACAATTAAAACAACTTTGTGATTATTATATTATAATAGTGAGTAAATAAGCATACTCATCTCACAGCAGCCAACTTAACTCCACCATATTTAGCAGCACTGCAGTGAAACACTATCCCCACCACCATCCCCACCATGCTCCCCTGCTCACCCAGTCGAAGTCGCAGGAGTTGCCGTCCTCCCGCTGGGTCGCCAGGTACTCGCACAGACCGGGAGCCTTTCGGACCAACAAGAAGGCGATGGTCATGAAAAACGAGGCGATATAATACGGCTTCAGCAGCCATTTGTAAATCTGAGGTAAGTGGTACAAGAAAGTACAGAGTCCTGTGATTAAACCCATGCTGGCGGACCCGACAGTCACCCTCTGTGAGTTTGAGGAGGAATGACAGCTGAAGTATCTGACTGTGGTCCAAGCGGCGACTTGGTCGAGCCGCGCATGCGCCACATAAAACTTACGTCGTCGTTCCTGGGCGCAGCGGCTCGCCGTAGATTTGGCGGGTGTTGTGAAAAAAACAAAACATAAACAGAGGAAGCTGGGGGAGAAAAATGGAGCAGAGCGAAGAAGTAACAGAAAAGAAGACTTTAAAGAAATGTGTCTCCGGTGAAGAGCAGACTAATGAGGCTGGAGCCGCTGGTAAACCGACCGAGGAGACGGAAGCTCGGTATAACCGGCTCAAGTTGTTCGACAAAGTGATGCAGAAGAGCCTGGAAAAGTTCATCGACCATGCCAGGTAAAGTTTCATTTGTGTCCCAAAACCGTAGTAAAACCACGCTGTGCTCCTAGTTTGTAGCTCTTGTGTTCATCTTTACTGCAAATGACATGTTAAATGTGCATGAGAGACACATTTGTTTACAGTTAAATACGTTTATACTAACATGAAGATACAGGTTTGACTCACTTTATTAAGAAAATAGACATTTAATATCTCAAACACGTCTATACAAAACATTTCATTATAACATTTTTATATATATACTGTTTACTACATATAATGGAATTAATATTATGAAACTTAAATTAAATTATGTAACAAATAAAAGAAAAACAAACACTGAAACAAGCATTCATATACTCCTGTTGTACCTGCTTTTTTTTAATGAATATTATTGATTACTTGAATTAAACTTTCATACGTGTGAATTATTCAACAGAAAAGAGATTGTAATTTTTTGCAAGTAACTAATAAGACCTACCTCTGACCTCTACTTTATTTTCCTCGTTCTCTACATATTGATTGGTTATTCTAAAGGATTAGTTTTAGGCAGCAACAAAGTATTATCTTCATTATCAACACATCCCTGAATGATTAATCAATTGTTGTTTAATATATAAAATGTCAGAAATGATCCCCAGAGCTGAAAGCAACACCTTCAAGTCGCTTATGTTAGATAATATAACACAGAAAAGCAGCAAATATTCACATTTGAGAGGCTGTAAGCGGGGAATCTTTGGCATTTCCTCTTGATAAATTACTTAACAGTCACTCTGTAATCAAAGCTGTTATCAGATATTTTTCTGTCAATCAATTTATAGATTAATCAACTAATCATTGAAGTACTTGATTAGTAGCCACACTTGGCTGCACTTTTGGTTGACGATGCTTTCACTCACAGTTTTAACAGATTCGCCAGCACGTTTCGCCCTCTGTACAAGAAGAACCCCCAGAGGATGGAGAGCATTCACAAGCAGTTCATCGAGGAGTTGCGGAGGACTATACAGGTGTGCAGCACATCACATTTAATACCACGTATGAACTACATATGGATGGTCCTTGTTGTTCCTATTGTGTATGTGTATGGACACACTGGTCTACCTGCCTGTATTATTACTTGTTTACATGAATGTCTGTGTTTGTCTGTGTGTGTGAAGGAGGACATCAGCAGATTGATGGAAGAAGGCCGGTTAGATTTCAAACTGAATGAGTTGGACAAAATGGAGAGTGCTGCCAAGAACAATCAAAACCCTGCGTGGTCAGTAAACAGCATTAAAAAACTCTTCACCTTTTAGCACCTTCACTGTCTGCTGGTTATACAAATCATTTCCTAACAATCCTTTACCATCTCCTTTGTTCTGGTAGGAGGCCGAGTGGGGTTCCTGAGCAGGACTTTTGCAGCTTTCTGATGCCATACTATCAAAAGCAAGAGGCCTACATGCAACTAGAGCTGAAAAAGATTCGGGCAGAGAATGCCGCCCTGGCGCAGAAGGTTCAGGCTGGTAGAGACAGCGTTACTCAGACTGAAAACCGTATTTCTACAGCTGTTGATGAGTGGAAGGTAAGGGGAAACGCTTGAGTCTTTACTCTAAAATGCATTTGTGACATTAGATGTTACCTGGAAATGAATACACTAAAGCTCTTTTACATAACGCATAAAAGAGATATTCTTTTAATTTTTGTCTCATGAATTTTAAACAGCCTTTAGCATAAGCTACATTTAATTGTTTTATGTATAATTAAATAACTTTGATATATTGTAAACGGGAGAGCATTTATTTTATTAAAAAAAATTGGTATTGGCTTGGTACAGATTGAAGGAGGCCATTGAC